TGGGCTTATTTCTCGGACGAGCCCCCAATTTGTAGATAGTTTGTTTGCTTAATGGCAATTTATTTATAAGTGTGGATGTTGAACTTATTATATATATTTCTTAGCTCCAAGTACAATTTGTGGTACAGTTATGTTCTTAACTTATGTGTGTGATTTTCGTACGATGCTTGGCTGAATTACGACTGACTGTCTCTGACTCTCGACTTCGACTGATCTCGCTTCTTTGCTCTCGGCTCTCTCAGAGCCGAAGGCTGCCTATACAGACGACGCGAGGAAACTACGGCCGCTTCGTGTCTCTCTCGGTCCTCCATAACCTACATATATTAATCTTTCAAATTCAAATTTCATCATTTTTTGCGGTTTTTTTCTCGAAATTTTGACTTTAAAAACTCGGGAAAAGTAAAAAAAAAAAGAATTCTTGGCCAACATTTTTAGTTTTAGATAGACGCATTAATTGGGCGTCGTGGGCATTCATTTCAAGTAAAATTATTTTTGAGTTGTTTTGGTCAAACGGTTCCAAATTGTTTATCCATAGATTCTTATGAGCAATACCTTAAACGATGCCCAATTAATGCGTCTATCTTAAACCAAAAATATTGGCCAAGAATAATTTTTTTTCGACTTTTCCCGAGTTTTTAAAGTCAACATTTCGAAAAAAAATACCGAAAAAAATGATTAAATTTGAATTTGAAAGCTTAATATCTTCCAGGCGTTAAGCTGCAGATACAAAGTGTCTGGGTACGATTTATAGCTGCATTTGTCAGCTTTTTAGAACTACACAGTTCTATGCAACCAAATATAAGCTACTTAAGTTATGTGAAAAATAGAAGCACTACCTCTGAAAAAAATACCAGATTTTAAAAATTCTTAAAAAAAAAATTACACCTTAAAAAAAAAACATAATTCGTTAAAAAAATGTTAAACCCCGAAATCTATAAGAATCTAAATTTTGGGCCACAGCCTAATTCTAGTGTTGACTAGTGTAACGATTGTGATATTGCTCATCTTTTCGCTTCATTTTTTCAACTCTGCTACTCAGTCCCCTCTAATAACCATCCCTCTATTCTGGCTTCTTCTGACATACTTTGTCCCAATCAATCTTATCCTTTCCACATGAATAGTTCTAACTCTATCTATCCCCCCTTCATGACTATAGTGACCTCTTAATTAATTTAAGGTCATGTAAATTTTCGTTTTCTACCGGCCCCGATATGGTTCCTAGTGCTGTTCTTAAACTTTGTGCAGATTCTCTCTGTATGCCCCTCCTTAAACTGTTTAGCCTATCACTCGAGCTCGGCGATCTTCCCACCGTCTGGAAAGAGTCATATATTATTCCCATTCATAAAAAGGGGTCTAAATCGGATGTTTCTAATTACCGTGGGATTTCCCATTTATCTGCCATTCCCAAACTCTTCGAAAAAATAATTACTTCCCAGCTCCAACACTTTTGTTGTTCCTTATTCTCTGAATCGCAGCATGGATTTGTAAAACGGCGGTCTATTTCGTCTTACCTCCTGGAATTCTCCACTTTCGTGCATGCGGGTTTCGCTAAGCAGTCTCAAACTTATGTAGTCTATACTGACTTTAGTAAAGCCTTTGATTCAGTAAATCATAATCTGCTTATCCATAAATTATCTCTCCTAGGGTTTCTTCCTAAACTTCTTTTCTGGATAAGTGCATACCTCTGTAATCGATCTCAGCGTGTTTCTTTTAATAACTCTCTCTCTCTAAGCCTGTTTCTGCATCGTCGGGGGTAGGACAAGCCATCTTGGCCCTCTGTTGTTTAATTTGTTCATCAATGATCTTTTCCAAGTCCTCACTTATTCCCGAGTACTTATGGATGCGGACTATGTGAAGTTATGTTTCTCCTATAGCGAACCCATGTCCCCGTTATGTCTCCAATCCGATCTTGACGCCCTCAACAACTGGTGCTTAATAAACATTCTTCCCCTTGAAAATTCATAGCTGTTCCTTAAAACGCCTTTACAAAATTCCTGACTTGGGAACTGTCTTTGTACCTAATCTGTGTTATATCCGTTCAAAAATAGTTTATCCTTTTTGCACTTCGTGGCATTAATTGGGACCCCTCTAGACATCTTCTTTCTTATGAGAGTAGACTCCGGCTCCTCGATATCCGCTCTCTCAAAACCCGCAGGATTTTCCATGGAGTTCTTTTTCTTCAAAAATTTCTCGCTGGTGAGGTTGATCCCACTGCGCTCAGTAGCCTTATAAGCATTTATCAGCTTTTAAAATCGCTTAATAGCTCAACATTTGGTGACCCCGACGTGATTTGTACAATAAACGATTCGGTTGTGCATATCACAAACTATAACTTTACATAATAATTTGCCGTTCGTTCGTTTGGTTTCGCTTTCCTACTGTGTCCACTCAGTGTTATCGACCATATAGCTGTCTTCAAGCATTTTCACTGGCCGCACTTACATACATTACATCCACACATAGCTGTCGGCAGTCTTTACCGTCTATTTCGCGTGTTGCTCTTTTCGGTCATCTTTCCGCTAGAAACGTTTCTAACTCTGTTCTCTGCTTACACTAAGTCCATCCCAATATTGGCCTATTGGAGGGAGCGGAGCTGCCGTGAAGATGGGCAGCTACAATTGCTTTAGTATCACTGAAAACTCAGGCCACATTTTGGGCTTTACTAATTCTACAACTCCATCTTCAATTACAGAGATCTGCCGATCTGGAAGTGCTCTGTCTAGCGCTTTTGAATGGCGGCTCTCTCTATTTGTTTCGTGAGCCTATCGTAACACGCCTGATCTTGTGTCAATTGGATGTCAGGCAATGCGTTGTGCTAAAGACGGCATCAGGATTGGGACATCGAATCAGCCACAAGCGACGTCTGTGAAACCCTTCAGCATCTGTTGCAAGTCAGGCTTTCAACGGGGAGAGTATGTCTGGTTTCCCAGCCTGAAATTCCCCAACAAGTTCCTAAATAATAGCCAGTGGTGCAAAATAACGTAATTCCACCTTTGTTTGCTATTTGCAGTGCCCACTACATATAAATACTGTAACCGCTTATAATTCCTTACGGCATTCTCGCATTCTCTTTCTCTATCTATCGTTCGTACTCGGCTCAGCAGCAGCCCGAGCTTCTATCGCTTCTTTCGTTCTCTCTCTCGCTTTCATTAGGACACGAGCAATTCGGTCGGGAACTGATCTCCAGCTTCGGACATACGGACATTGGAATAGCGTTCTATAAACAAACACAATCTCAATCGTTGCCGGCCCCTATTCCCCGAAATTAATAAACTAAACATATCCAACTAAAACCATCGTCTTTTATTAATTAAACTTTTTTTGTATTTCTCTTGCCTTTAATATTGTTGGCTTGGTTTAATACGTGTTTTATACCCGTACTCAAAAAAGAGTTAAGGGGTATATTGTATTTGTGGTAGAAGTGGATGTGTGCAACGCAGAGAAGAAAACGTTTCCGACCCCATAAAGAATATATATTTTTGATCAACATCAATAGCCGAGTCGATATAGCCATGTCCGTCCGTCCGTCCGTCCGTCTGTCCGCCTCGATGAGCGCCTAGATCTCAGAGACTATAAAAGCTAGAGCAACCAAATTTTGTTTCCAGACTCATGTGATATCACACTGCTACAAGTGTATTTCAAAATTTCGCCCCGCCCCCTTCCGACCACACAAAAGACGAAAATCTGTGGCAGGCACAAATTTAAAGATACGCTACAACTAAAAACGCAGTATCGTAGAGAATGCCCATGTCTACCAGATTTCCGAATCTGAATCATATCGGATTATAATTATAGGCAGAATGAAGAAATTTAATTTTCAGTGGTTTCCCCTGCCTCCACCAGCCAGAGACACGCTACTCTTTCTCGCTAGCACACTCAGCCGCGTTCAGTGCGCGAGCAACCCCTAGCGGAGGAGATGTAGAATCTAAATGGTACATGTACAATCTACATGTTAGATGTAGAATATACATTGTAGATGTAGCTACTAGATGTAGCAAAAACGAGAAGGAACGTGCGAGTCGCTTCTGGGGACGCGACTCTACTTATACCCGTACTCAGTCAGTATATACATTTTTGAGCAAATGATTTTTTAGAATTTTAGAATTAAAAATAAAATTTTACATTTTACATTTTTTTGCTACATCTGCTATCTACATATACATCTACAGTGTATATTCTACATCTAACATGTAGATTGTACAATGTACATGTTCCATTTAAATTCTACATCTCCTCCGCTAGGGGTTGCTCGAGTGTACGAGCGAGAAGGAAAATGAGTTGCGATGTCGTTTGCTGGAGGGGTGGCAGGGGAAGCAATTGAAAATGAATTTCTTCATTCTGGCTATAATTATGATCCGATCTGATTCAGATTCGGCAATCTGGTAGATATGATCATTCTCTACAATACTGCGTTTAGTTTTATCGTATCTTTAAAATTGTGCCTGCCACAGATTTTCGTCCTTTTTGGGGGCGGAAGGGGGCGGGGCGAAATTTTGAAATACACTTGTAGCAGTGTGATATCACATGAGTCTGGAAAAAAATTGGTTGCCCTAGCTCTTATAGTCTCTGAGATCCAGGCGTCAAACAAGACGGACAGACGGACAGACAGACATGGCTCTATCGACTCGGCTATTGATGCTGATCAAGAATATATATACTTTATGGGGTCGGTAACGTTTCCTTCTCTGTGTTACACACATCCACTTTTACCAAAAATCTAATATACCCCTTAACTCTTTTTTGAGTACGGGTATACAAATTTAACATTTTTTTTTAATTTTTAAATTCTAAGATATCATAAGCTCAAAAATGTATATTCTGACTGAGTACGGGTATAAGTAGAGTCGCGTTTTTTTTTGAGAAACGTGCTAAAATTTTATAAAACAAAAAAATCTACTTATTTTTGAGTGTCCACATTTCAATGTCCGCTACTGTATATATGGTTATCGTTCCATATTCTTATAACATCCGTATGTACATATAGTAAAAAAAAAACTTACCAATATAGCTTGTTTAGAATAAAGTTCGGCATCACAATTGTCACAAAGATATATATCAAAAGGTGGTGGTTCAACCATCATATGTTGTAAATTATCAATAGATGTATTCATATTTTTTTGAAGTAACAGGCATTTTCTATTTTTTTGCTGTCTGTCATATGACTGAAATTAAATAAATAATTTTATACATTAATTTAGTTAAATATATTAAAGTCAAACAAAACTTCGCAGGTACGGAAATTTTTTGTGCTGGACATGAGCTTCGAAAAAATAAAAGTAAAATTATTTTTGATGCGAGTTTTTATACCCATACTCAAAGATGTGTGCAACGCAGAGAAGGAAACGTTTCCGACCCCATAAAGTATACATATTCTTGATCAGCATAAATATCCGAGTCGATATAGCCATGTCTGTCTGTCTTTCCTATATTATTTTTTGATAAAAAAACAAAACCATCAAATAATTTGCTAGCTTTTAACATGCTTAGTGATAATTTTTTTTCTTCTAGCTTAGAATTTTTTTTTTTATCTTTTGAGGTCTGGTATTTTTTTAAAGGTTGTTTAGATGTAGCGCTTTTTCTTAATTAAGTATCTTACATTTGGTTTTAATGAACCTCGCCATTCTGAAAAATTAATTGGTTTAGCTATAAATTAGAAAAAACATTTTGTGATTTCAGTTTACCGTTTGGGAAATATTAAGCTTTCAAATGAAAAAAATTATTTTTATGCGGTATCGTAAATCGGAAAAAAAAATGTCACTGACACTCCTGCAGATAAACCTCCATCATTGTAAGGCAGCATGAGCTGCCCTACTGCTCCACCTAGCCAAGGGTGGAGCCGACATAGTCCTCATTTAAGAGCCCTGGATCCTCGGAAACAGGGTTTCCGGTCTGAGGACTCAAGACTATAGGCTATATGTAGCTAACACCACAGATAAAATCCGCACCTGCATTCTTGCAAAAAGAGAGTTACACTTATTTTTTCTGCCAAATTTCAGCGATGAAGATCACACAGCGGTGAGCCTCGAAGGCCAGGAGAGCTCACTGAGGATGTGCTCCACATACATGGGTCACGACCAACCTGACCCCACTCCACACTGCCCTAAGAGCTCTCATCGCAGACTGCGAGGCCAATGACATCGGCCTAACTGTGGGATGCGACGCCAACGCACACCACAGTCAGTGGGGAAGCACTGACACCAATGAACGGGGTGAGTCCCTTTTCAGCTATATACTGACCACTCAGATGATCATATTAAACCGGGGGAACGATCCCACGTTTATTATTAAAAATCGCGAGGAGGTCCTGGACCTTTCTTGACATAGAAGGCGCTTTTAACAACATCATCTCGACCGCCATCACGGGTGCACTGACGGACCTGAGGACTGATTCCCGGACGGTGAGTCTCATCGATCAGATGCAGGATGCAGGACCGTTGAGGCCTCACTGGGGACGTCAACTTCCACCAGGTTTGTCAGCAGAGGAACGCCGCAGGGCGGAGTCCTCTCGCCCCTCCTATGGAACGTAGCAGTTAATGAACTGCTGCGGGAGATAGAGGGGGTGGATGTCACGTGGTGGCGTACGCTGATGATGTTGCCATAGCATTCTCTGGGAAATTTCCACAGACGCTATGCGAGTGCATGACAAGCACTCTCATAACACTATCCCGTTGGGGAAACAAATGCGGGCTAGGTCTTCATCCGTCTAAAACGGAACTATAAAGTACTCTTCACCAGGAAGTACAAGATTCCGACACTGACTCCTCCAATAATTTGAGCAATAATGCCAAGTATCTTGGTCTGATCCTCGATAGGAAGCTCGATTGGAAACTGAGCATAGAGGATAGGGTAAAGAAAGCCACTGTGGCCCTTTGTTCCTGCAGAAAAACGATCGGAATCAAATCGGGAATGACCCCGTATATAGTACGGTGGCTATATACCGCCATCATACGACCAAGAAACCTTGTCTTAGCACCCTCAGCCGAAAAGGGTGGCAACTCTTTCCTCTCTCAGAATGAGAGAATGCAAACTCTGGAAAGCATCCACGTTTGGACACTCTGGAATCTTGACGAGACTCCCGCAACTATCGGAGGGGACAGATTACTGTATACCGAGTGATCACCTCTTCGACGGTACCTTCCAGGTATCAATCCCACTCAGGGAGGACTGGGAGAGGGGCGAAACTGGACCCGCAAATGCGATCAACATATACACTGATGGCTCACAGTTAGACGGCCGTGTGGGTGGTGGCGTCTACTGTAACGAGCTCAACATTATTCATTGTTTCAGACTCCCGGATCACTGTAGTGTGTTCCAAGCGGAGCTTGAAGCAATAAACGAGGCTATTTCTATCGTCTCCAAATTTTCTTTAGACAGACACTCAGTGTGTGTCATCTCAGACAGCCAAGCAGCTCTCAGAGCACTTGGCTAAATATCGTCGAACTCAACGACTGTTAACATATGCCGCAGGTCTCTTAATGAGACCGCAGAGCATTTAGATCTCTCCCTAATATGGGTCCCCGGACACAGGGATATCCCCACGAATGATGCTGCCGACGCACTAGCCAGGCAAGGTACTACCACACCTCTCCTACCGGAGAAGCAAGTAGCGATGCCTTTGGCCACGTGTAGGCTACTAACGCACGAAGCGTTCGAGCTAATTACCGACTGGCGATGGCAACTAAACAACATCTGTAAAACTTCCAGGTCGATCTGGCCAAGTCGATCGAAGAAACGCTCGGAAGAACTCTACAGACTCAGCAGAGTACAGTGCTCCAGTGTACAGTGCTGCCAGACTGTCAATCCCTCATTACGACTTCTGTAGAAGCTGTAGGCACTACGAAGAGGAGAGTCGATCTTCCACTTCTTCTGTCACTGTCTGCCCCTGGGAAACCGTAGGCTACCGCTTCTGGGGCTCCTTTCCTCACCGACACTTCGGACCTGGCCGAAATCAGACCAGGGATCTTGTCCAAATACATCCAAGCCACAGGATGGGACTGCCCTTAACTCCGCAATTGGCACCACTACGATACCAGACCAAGTGAGTTGGGTTGGGGAGGATTTTCTTTCTCTCCAACTACCACCTTAACCTAACCTAACCTAAGTTATGTAAATAACAGAGGCGCTACATCTGAAAAAAATAAATAATAAATAAAAATACCAGACTTCAAAAATTCTTCAAAAACGAGAAGGAACATGTGAGACGCTTCTGGGGACGCTAATCCACTTATACCAGTTCTCAGTCAGTATATACATATTCTACATATCCTCCGATAGAGGGCGCTCGCGTACATAACGAGTAGAGTGTACGAGCGAGAAAGAGAATAAGTAGCGGGTCTCGGGGGGGAAGCAACTTAAAATTAATTTCTTCATTCTGGCTATAATTATGATCCAATCTGATTCAGATTCGGAAATCTGGTAGATATGATCATTCTCTACGATACTGTGTGCCTGCCACGCGAAATTTTGAAATACACTTGTAGCAGTGTGATATCACATGAGTCTGAGTCTATCACATTTGGTTTCTCTAGCTCTTATAGTCTCCGAGATCTAGGCGCTCATCGAGACGGACAGACGGAAATGGCTATATCGACTCGGCTATTGATGCTGATCAAGAATATATATACTTGATGGGGTCGGAAACGTTTCCTTCTCTGCGTTGCACACATCCACTTTTACCACAAATACAATATACCCCTTAACTCTTTTTTGAGTACGGGTATAAAAAGTTCTGCTAAAGAAAAAATTTATTTTACAAAATATCAGAAAACGTTTGTTTGGCCCGAAGCGGAAAAAAAATGTCCGTTTTTTCGAGTAGTGTTTTTATTTATTTTTTTCATTTTTTCTTTCATTTTTTTTTATTATTGATAATTATTAAAAATAGTTTTTTAAAAAAATTTGAGCTATTGATCTTTTTCAATAGCGTAGATTTAGATTGAAATGAAAACAAAGTTTGTTCGATTAGATTATGTATGTGTTGAGAGTAGCAGCAGCGAGTTGGCAGGGGGCTGTTGTTAACAGCCGGAGCGCGCTCTCTCTTGCCTGGCGCTAGCGAGTTGGCGGGCAGCCAGCTCACTAAGCGGGAGTTTAGTATTCTACCCACCCCCGTACATTCCGGTACGCGTCGATACATAGAATCGTTTTATATTCACACCCACATACATACACACATATAATCAAACAACCGCGCCGTTTCGAGTGCCCAATAAACCGATTTGTTAACCATCATACTGTGCCTATTCATTGCGGGACACTTTGGATCTTCTGAGGGCTTATCTGCAGCACTAGGAAGCGCCCTACTACAAACATTGGTCCTTCGAGCCGGATTCTTGCTGAATCGAGATTGTCCCAGCAAGCATCGGTGGTTTCCAGAGAGAACTGCAGATAAGTACGCTCATATTGTGCCGCCAATCGATTCCTTCCGCGATTGGCGTTCCGCACTATTCACGTCCGAGTGTCCACTTATCCATATGTACATATATTCTTATGTACATATTGTCCGATCTCACTAACACTTTCCGTTAGCTATTAGCAATTATCCGCTACACAGCCACAATACCGGCGTCCGACACGTATGTATATATGCATGTGCATATGTTGTGCCTGAGTCGCACACACATACCCCGCCCCCAATAAAACACTCATCCGAAGTAATTTATTGGCGTTGTTTATTGTATTTATTGTTTATTGTGTATATCGAATTGTATATTCTTACAATCTTATTTTCACTCAATACTTCTCATAAATAATAAACCTCATTAATCCCGGTGGGAAAATACCTAAAAAATACCGATTACTCCACATCTACATACCACACTTAGTATATGTAGGCACGAACGCGTTCGTCCGATACGCGGTACCAGCACTCCGCTGCTTATGCAAATTTCGCAATTACCAAGAATTTAAGCATTCCAGGCGCCCATAAAGTGACCCACAGCCCGAGCAATTTCCCCCACATCCGGGATAAATTCATCCAACAAGAGGCACAGCTCATTTCCGCAGTCTTTTTTGCATTTTTCCGCGCCAAATTCCAAATTGCCAAAAAAACTAGAGGTGACAAACCAAAAAAAAAACCTAGTGGTGGCAAAAATAAAAATATCGCTCACGGGCCTCGTATCCATCGAGTAGTTAATATTTTTTCGCAAATCACCTTGTCCATC